TGATAATAAGTCGAAATAATTATTTCATTTCATTTTTAAAAAGAACGGATTATTTTTCGAGACAATGAGGTCATTTACACACAAAACTTATAAAATAAAGATCCTGGACGAAAATATCACTATTTATTAAAAACAGACTATATTTCAAGAAGATGATGTCACTTACTTTTAATCACTCACGAAATTGATGCTTTTTGTGTATATTGGTTGGGGTACTAAAAGGGCGCTCGTTTACAGTAGATCTTATAGAATCAGTATGCACAAGAGCTCAGTGATAAAAGTTTCAGTTAAAAAGACGCATCTCATGGTTATACCATAGGAAGATGGCACATTTAATTTACTTACACGTCATAGAGGATTGTCAAGGGCCAACACGTAAGAGAAACTACAAGCCACGTAATAAGATAAGAAAAGCTTAAGCCAAAAGCTTTTGAAAATAGTGATGGTCCCTAAGGACCATCATGCTCATATGGACCATCACTTATTAAAAGTTTATTTTCCCTCTTTTTTTTCCTTTTTTTTTTTTTAAAAAAAAAAAGTTTTAAGATTGTTACACTCTCTCTCTCTAATTAGGGTTTAGAAAGAAAAAGAAATCCTAAGGGGGTGCACACCCAAGACACAAGAGCCTAACCTTTTAGTTTGTCTTGTGCTTATGTGTTGAACTTTGGTCAAGTTTTATCTCATGTCATGCTCTCTACTGGTTTTGCCTAGGCTTCCCAAGTTATGAGACAAGTTTGGACTTTGATCTTATGTAATTTTTAGATTTATGTTACGAATGTAATTTTGTTTTGATGGCAAGAAAATGAGAGTCTTTGACATTTTTGTGGTCTTTTTGGCTCACATTTTGTATTTGGTCCTTTATAAGTGATCCGGATGGTAATACAAAGAAAAAAAAAAAAATCGGTATTCACTTGCCTGGGTCATATAGTCATACTTTCAGCAGGCCACTGGCGTTGACACCCACCTTGTTCAGGCATTGCTGGTTGCTTTCCATCGCAATCTGTGCATCCTAAGGTTTGACGATGGGTGGTGGTTTTGGCGAATAAGAAAGTGACGATACTCTTGCTGGCGTTGGACGCTCGTACCCCCATCGTCAAGGCAATAATCATTACTTTATGTCACAATTTGAGCATTCTGATGTTTGGTGATTGGCGACAAATCCTACCAATAGGAACTCAATATGGCTGGTAAAGGTGTCGACGCTACTACCCCTATTATTGGCGGCAATCATGACCACCTGCAGCCACAATCCAAGGATGTCGGGTTCTAACTTGAGCCACCGTCTATTGGGTATTGTTGGTCTTGTCACTAACGTTGAGACCATAGTGTTGTACCTATTATACGTCATTTATGACATACTTGTATCCCTGGGATGCATAAGAAGAGAGCCAGTAGCAAATTGGTCTCGTCAGCGCCAAAAACGCCATCAGACCACGGGAGCACTATGAAAATAAGCTTATTTTGGGTAATTTCAAAAGAAGTATCGGATTGGCCTCAAATTGCATGGGTATTTTTGGATGCCCTAAGGACACCCGTAATTTTTGTCGCGTTCCAACAAGTTTCAAACAAATCAGAACGAAACTCAGTTTGCAAAGCGAGATCATATCATGCTGAAAAAATACCATATAACTACAGATCTATTTTTAGGGTCTCAGGTGAGCATCAGACCACCGTCATTAGATCCTGAATGTCTAAAAACCCCAAGATACCAAATTTCGGATTAATCAAACCCTTTGGGATCATTCTAGGCCTAACTTACCAAAAAATGATGGGTTTTACACTTTTGCGGTGTAACCTCGGTGAACCAATTTCTATTTATGGAAAGTGTATTTTCTCATTTTGGGATGAATTTCAAATGCCCATAACTTTCTCATTTTGAGTCCAATTACTCCCAAATTCGGACATGAGCTAGATCTCGTCGATACGCTCGTTTTGACATATTGCACGCATCAAGACGTGACTCGAAATGAGAGAAGTTTTGGAGAGAATATGGGCAAACTTGAATTTTCAGATTTAAAAAAGTGAGACATATCATTCTTTTAGAGTCTCTATCTCGAGATCCCGAATTAGGATCTCCGTAAGTATAGGTCCGCTGTGATTGTGCTTCGAAGGGCTTCTAGTTGATATATTTTTTGTGCATGATCGAAGACCGAACGATACTGAATTTTGAGATTAAACAAGGCACATTTTCCGATCTTCGGAATCCTTTTTTGTGGCGACCTCCCAAAATTGGAATGCGCTCAAACGAAGACCAAATCAGACGAATTTTATCACAAAACGATCATGATGGAGTCCTCTTCAATTTGTGATAAAAAAAAGGAATCGAAACATCATGGATCGTGCTATATTGGTGGTCAAAGAATTCTAAACTTAGCCAGATTTTGGGTTCTTTCTTAAAATTCCATTTCAAAACAATAAATGGATATCAAAGCATGCGTAATAATGCAAGCAACGATTCTATGACGTTTGATCGCTCGAATTGTCATCGGAAGTATCCTAAGAAGCTCCCGCGGCCTAGCAAAAAAAGGTCCCCCTCAAGGAGGGATGGTTTTGTTATTTCATGAAAAGTGCTTAAGGGCAATTTAGTCATTATTTCTAAAAATAAGATTATTATTTTATTCCATTAAATGTGTAATTTCTAGCAATTTTAGTGGTTTTTGGGATGTTCTATATAAACAAGTTAAGTCTTTTGTAATAGAGCTTCTTGAGAATTTTGGAGTGTATTAGAATTCAAAGCGATGATGGGCTTCTCCTCTTTCTTCTAACCCATTTCTTAACTCAAGGAAGGAGGAGAGAAAAATAGTCGTTAGAGAGAGAAACTACCGTATGTACCTCTCACTTTTTAGAACTCCAAACTTCTCATTTCCTAGAACCTCTAGCTCCCTACTTCCTCGAATTCCCTACTCCCATACCCTACTCCCATCCCATACACCCTAGCATACCATAAACCCTACCCTACTATACTCCTTAGCATATCATACACCCTAGACTAACCTACACCCTACAGCACCCAAACCCACCTAGGTCACCCAATTAGGGCCTAGACCCTAACCCTAAAGACCAAGCCCCGTTTCTCTAAGGAGCGCTCAAATGGACTGCTGAAGGCGCATTAAACTTGAGCCACCTAGATCCACTCTCTCTCCTCTTCCCCCTCTCTCTTTCTCTCTCTCTCTCCTACTCGGACCCACAGTGGGTCTGAGCCCTCTCCCTGTTTTTCTGTACTCTTTCTCTCTTACTCTCTCTCTCTGACCCAGTCACAGACCCGCACCAAGGGCAGATCTATTTCTCTCTCTCTCTCTCTCTCTCTCTCACCCTGTCACTCCCTCTCTCGCTCTCTCTCTCTCTATCTCTCTCACCTCGTCATGGACCTGCACCAAGGACGGGTCCGTCTCTCCCTTGATTCTCTCTCTGTCTCTCTATATATCTCTCTCACCCCGTCACGGATCCGCACTGAAGGTGGGCCTGTCTCTCCCTCTCTTTCTCTGCCTCTCATCCCTGTCACGGACCTGTGCCAGGGGTGGGTCTATCTTCCTCTCTTCTCTCTTATTCTCTCCTTCTCTCCCTCTCTCTCTCAACACCATGGACCCGCGCCAGGGGCGGGTCCATCTCCTTCATTCTCTCTAGCTCTCTCTCTCTCTTATCCCATACTCTCTTTCTCCTCTTCTCCTCCCATCTCTCGTCTACTTTCTTTCCCTTACTCTTCTCTCTCACCTCACTCTCCCTCATCTACTCTCTCTTCACTCCCTCTTCTTTTGCACTCAATCACTCAAGCCGGGGTTTTCGTGGGGCAGTTCCCTCAAAGAGTTTTTAAACTCTAAGACTGCTCTAAACCACCAGTTTACATAGTGATTGGACTGTGAGAGCATTTGGGATGTGAGAGAGAGAGTTCCATCTCTCTCATTCTCTCCCCTCTTCTCTCTTTCAGGGTTACTTTAAAGAGGCTATTTGGGTTAGTGACATATACATGGGCTAAGTCACACGGCTCTACTTCTCGAACCCTTTAGGTACCAAGGTTTTGATCTTAGTACCTTTCTCTTGTCTCCGATAATAACTCTTGGGAGAGGTTATTCCGGGAGGCTGCCCAATTCTTGGGTCATTCTCGCGCTTCTTCTATCTCATCTTTTTTTTTTCTTCTTCTGTTTAAACTAAACCCCCACCAATTTATCGTCATTCTTACCTTTTTTCTCGTTATTTTTCTATCTTTTCTTCTTCTCTATCACTCTAACCCTCAACACTAGAATCCCTGTCCCAGATATCTATTAGGAAGAGGTTACCATAAGCAAACTCTAAAAAGCTATTTTTAATGAGAGTCTAAGTGAGATATTGATTTCTGAGGGGGCCGAATTCAAACCGTGCTGCTGGACAGCCAAAGGGCTTTTAAAATGATCTAAGAGGGCTAAGGCCTGGACACGTCCCACACCTATGCTCTTCTTCTTCTTCTTCGGGTCTGTGTGGGATATTGGGTGCACATATAATAGGTTGCCTGACAGTGTTATTTTAGAACTGCGGAATTTGTTAGAGCTTCTTCAAGATATCTATCTCTCTTATGCGGGCTCAAATGAGGTTGTTTGGAAATGTAAAAGTGATGGGCTTTTCTCAGTAAGGTCTGCATATAGGTTACTTTTTCATGAACGAGTGAGATGGCCTAATTTTTCCCTTGGTTCTATTTGGAAGTTGCCTATACCTATGGAGAACCGAGTAAATCTCTGGGTAGCTTTGCAAGGCAAAATGCCTTATAATCGACAATCTTCGAATTAGGGGTAAAGTCTTACCAAATATTTGTCTATTGTGTATATATGATGAGGAAACTGGGAACCACTTATTCTTGCATTGTTCTTTTGTAAATAATATTTGGCGTTGGGCTTTCCAGACCTTGGGCTTTTTTCTTATGCTGCTTGCAAACACAATTGGCATCATTCATCATCTTACTCCGCCTTGTTTGCCTTCTAAAGGTCTTTTGATTTGGAAAATCTTTAGAAGTGCTATTATGTGGCAGATTTATGGAACTTAACAAGAGAACTTTTGATGGGATTTTTCTTCCTATTGAAAGTGTTAAAGATCGTATCTTGCAGACTTTATGGGATTGGTTTTCTTCAACGGCTGAAGGTTGTGGAGTTTTTCGTATTGACATCTTTATTAACATTGTCTACTCCTACTTTCCAACTATTCGTCTTCACTCTGTTCGGAAGGTACCTCCAATGGACTCTCTTAAACTTAACTTTGATGGAAGCTCCATTGGCAATCCGGATCCTATTGAAATTGGTGGCTTGCTTAGAGACCATGAGGGATCAACCATTTTTTCTTATGTAGGACCATGTGGCAATACCACGGCTAATCAAGCAGAAATCTCGTCCCTCTTACCGGGATTGAAGATTATCGTCAGTAAAGGCATTTCAGGAGAGAATCTCATTGAAGGTGACTCCTTCAATGTCATCAAATGGTGCAAGCAGGAGCAAAGAATGCCTTGGTCTCTTCACGTTTTTAGGATGAAAATTATTGACCTCTGTTCCACACCTGGTCTTCTTATTTCTTTCTCATGTCTACCATGAGGCCAATGCAGCAGATGTCCTTGCTAAATCTAGCATCTCCTCTCCTACTTCGCTTATTTTTTATGCTTTAATTCTTATGTGATCTGATGATGTTTCACCTCTTCTTTAATAAAAGCTTTTAAAATTGTCAAAAAAGAAAGAAAAAAAAAAATATTTTGGTTCCAATACTAAACAAGCAGGTATATAACCACTAATTCATACACGTCACTTGATTCAAATATAATATCTAAATTAACCTTTATTATGAAGGATGGAGACCTAGAACAATCACATCCCATGAAAAAACAATCAAATCTGGGTTCCTAAGCCTAAAAAGCTAAATGTCCATTGATCATTTGGCTTGTGCCGCTTGGGCTGAGCCAAATAATGTAAATATCTCTACTTGTTTCATTTCAAGAACCCTGATTAAAATAATCAGGTGGGCCACTTAAGTGGGCCAAAGTTAAAATGGCCATCTTGTTTTTGGGTATTTTAAAACAATGTCAGGAGGAGGCACGTGTGAAATTATGGTAGATTGGATGATTTGACCTCCTTAATAATTTAAAAAATTTACATATGGACAAGAAAAAAATGCAATAGAAAATGATGCAATATACAGCATGGATACATATTTTGGGTTATGGTACATTGGAGTTCTAATTTTTTGTATTTTTTTTTTATTTTACCTAAAGTTCAAAAATCTAACTCCTAGACAACACATTAAAAAAAAAATTGTGTTGTATTTGAGTGTTTCAAAAGTTTGGCACATGTGTTGGACAATTCGAAAGTCCAACCTTCAAAGTACCCAAAGCACAAGAAAACTGATGAATTATGGTAGACAGAGCGACCTAAAAAAAAAAAAATGAAAAATAAAAAAAGAAAAAAAAAAGAAAGGAAATTGGTTGGGAACTTTGAAATCCAACTTTCTAACCACCCAAGTTTATTGGTATGTTTGTGTTTTGGATGGTTCTAAAGTTATATTTTTTTTTAAAATTATTCTTTTGCAGGTTTTGTACCTTTTTTTTTTTGTTTTTTTTTTTTTGTCATTATTTATTTGTCACTTTTCCTTCATATTCCATTTTTATTATTTTCCAATAATATTTGTATCCTTTGTTTTGTTATTTTCCAATAATATTTGGATCCTTTGTTTTGGCTGACTTGCTGACCTTGGATGCCGTTTTTTTTGCCCATTCACCTTTTTTGTCAGTGTTACTAGGAAACCTGTGCATCTAGTACTTTGATCTAAAAGATACAGCAAGATACATTAGTGGATTTATAATTTTCAAATGGAATGCACATTTATCGAGATACTCATCAAAGATGAGTTATTTAATAGTTTACCTATTTACAACTATTCGGACTCAATATCATCTGTTTTTCTGTAAGTATTTCGAAATGAAATCAGAAGATGTGGAAAAAGTATTAAATTTTTCATATCTTGTAGATAATTTGATAAATTTCTCTTATTTATAATGACATAAGTTGCGGAATCACATATATTTAGTATATGAAAACACTAATATACATATCTCTCAATTACAACGACAACCAGACATCTCTCTCTCTCTCCAATTACACCATTATCTCTATGAGAAATTATATGCAGCACTCTTCACAGATCCAGCAACAGCAAAGGGCGGCAAGACTGCGTGAGGAAATAAAAAGATCAGCTTCAATGGCAGTTTAGAGCTTCTCCAAGGGAAACATAACACACGGAAATGATTTCTATTTAGGAAAAAGTTCATATATGGTTCCCACTTTATACTGTTGAAGTAACGTGCACCTCAAAAATATACAAAAATATAGTGTTATGGCATTAAAGACCCCTCAATTGATCATCTTGACCTTGAGATATATGAATATGAGGAAAAAAAAAAAGAAGGTCTAAGTTTCAAGACTATTATATCTTGTAACAAGTTATCTGAATTGTTTATTTTCAAAATTTTCAAGGGTTCCTTGATCTTCTCAATATGTATTGTTTTTTAAATTTTAATTTGTATAGCTAGGGATCAAAATATATTTCGAGCCCTCATAAAGTTTTTGACACTAGAATGATATCAAAGTTATAACAAAAGGAACATGACTAAAAGAACGAGAAAAGAGAGTAACAAGGAGAAACTCAGACTCACCCTTGGCTCACTGAGTTACTCTGGATTAACCGTTACAATTTTGCGTATATAAAAAAATAAAAAACATCAAAAAACATATATGGATTGGCGTATAAAATTTGTATATGTAGTTTAGATGCTTTTGGCAAAAGTTGTTGAGTTTTCTTGTCATGTATCCTTTTTTTATTTTTTATTTTAAAAATATCCCCAATTATAAAATCAATTTCTTTTAAAATCCATGTTTTATGTAGTTTTTTAAACTTATTTAGACTTTTAGGTTGTTTATGGTTTTGTTTGATCTTTGCTATTTGTTATTTTATTTTTAATGTTTTTATTTTTAATTTTTCAAGAGTTTTAAGTCCAACTTGTCCGAGTAACTCGTCTCAAGCTAGGGCCGAGTACCTGGCCTGAGGGCAAGTCTCAAAACATTGATTCCAAAAATAAAATAAAAAAGGAAAAAAAAAAAATTGCATACACATGCATACACAAACACACAAATCGGATTATTTTGTGCGTGTAATAAGAAATTTTACCATCCCTCAATGAAACCCCTGTCGCCCTTCTTTCTTACATGAGGACATTTTGACTTCACCTGCGGGGGACTTCCTTGTGGATAACCTATAATCCACAAATTTGTAAGAGAAAATATTTACCAGAAAGAAAAAAAGAGAAAATACCCCAAGTGCAATTTGTTGGCATCCAATAAGGAAGCTTTAACTTTCATAATTAGGGTTTTATCATCAAAGTAGGCAAAATACATACAATTTCCCAAATTCATGGTCCTCTTTTAAACGAAAGCAAGATTCATGGTTTCAGGCAAGAAGAAGCCTAACACCAAATTTTTGGTCTTAGTTATCACAAAATTTTGGATAAAATTTGTTCTTAAAACTTGTCTACACATATGTCCTCAAAATGAAATAGTTATTCCAAATGAATCTGGACAACCAAAATTGAAAAAAATGCGCCTAAATGAAGAATATAATTTATAAAGAAAACAAGAATCATAAAGAAGAAGACGATCAAAAGAATTTATAATTAAAAAACAAGAAAAAAAAAGGAAGAAGATGAAGAAGAAGAATTGCACCTGGAGGAGGCTGCTGCTTCCTTTCTTTCACTTGATTTTCAAACTTAGGCATTTTTTGCAAGTGTTAGGGGAAAGTAGAATTGTGCTTGGTTTGATTGCAATGCTGGGATTCATATTTATTTATATGCAAGGGATGTTCTAAAGTCAAAAAGGCTTTTCCCTAGGTTAGTTGGCACCTGCTACAATTTTGCTTTAGAAAAAGTTATCCTTTATTTCTCATTCCAATAACTTAAAGCCAACAAAGAGTAGTATGCATTCCTCTAATATAGTCTAGATGCCTTTCCTTTCACATATTCCAAATCCCTATTTGGACTTTTTTGATAGCATTAGAAGGTGCCCCTCAAACTCCTATGAAAGGATCAAGAAAAATAATTGATGATGTAAGGCTTTTACAAGTGTATTTAGCAATCAATAGACCTTTCACATTGTGAAGTTCCTAGGTAAAGCCAAAAGATATTCTACTCCCTGGGGAGTAGACTGTTCATTTACTCCATTGAATGAAACCCTATCTAGAATTAAGTTTTGACCCTAAAACTTTTAGGGATGTAACCTCTTCAACCCACAATAAAAAAAAAAATCCTAATTGTACCATCTATGCACTTGAAAAGTAATGTTTGAAGATTGAATAGAGACCATTCAATTTTTAGATGGTGAGATCCAAGTCTTAGAAAACTCAATTGGAAATTGTTTTTTTTTTTAAGAGAATAATCATAGTAATTCTTAAGTGGTTACCAAAATTTCAAAATGATAAGATCCTCCCAAGTAGGTCTTTTAACCGAGGGAGTAGAAGTAAACAATGCTCCTGAGGGAGCATAGTATACGTGCTCCTTGGTAAAATGGGAGAATAATGGAAAATTGGGGAGGATGTGAATTGTGAGAGATAGTGAGGGAAGGGATTGTAAAATATGGAACCATTTAGCTTTAGCTTTTCTATACCTTTTCTTTAAAGAATAAATTCGTTCCTTACATTCCAAGCTAAGCCATGCATCGTGTTCACACATGGATACCTTGGTTTGAATCTCCCCTACTTTTGGCTTAGTTTATACCTAGAAAATGAATGGGAATGCCAACCAATGATATGCCCTAAATTTTTTCTTAAAAATGGGCCACGAAAGAAAATTTTTTTTTTTAAAAAATTACTATAGATCCCAAGACCACACTTTCTATGCAACTTACCCGCAACCTTATTTTTTCTCTCACTTTTTTCCTCAAAATAAACTTTTTATGCAAATACCCCTCTTCATTTTTTTAGACAGAAATGCCTTTCCCGTACACAAAAATCATTTTGGATATATTTGATGTTGACTTTTAGACCCCAGTAGCACATTGCTGGAGCTCACCATCATATTGTTGGAGCGCACAAGTGCTGGACCGCCCATTGCAACTGCCAGACCTCCCTTTTCAACTGCCGGACTACATTTTACACAGTGCCAGAGCCCTACTGCCAGACCACACTTTACACAGTGCCGGAGCCTTACTGTCCGACCGAACTTTACATAGTGTCGGAGCGCTACTACCGGACTGCACTTACACGGTGCCAGAGCCCCCTATTTTGGTGAGATAGAGGAGAGAAAGGCGTGGTAAGGCAAAAGTAAGGGAGGGTAGTTTCGGCATTTTTTTATTTTTATTTCGGTTAGGGGGATTTTTGTATAGAAAGTATATTTTGGCGAAAAAAGTGAGAGAAAAAGTTAGGTTGGGGTAAGTTGCATAGAAAGTGTAGTTTTGGGGGGGCTTTGGTAATTTCCAAAAAAAAAAAAACCGAAATTAGGTTAGCATTTTTAAGGACTTTTTGCGATAAGCATCAACTATTCGAATCCTTGTGTCTGCAACTAAATCAAAGCCTAAGGTACGATGCATGTAGTATAATATGAAGTTTAACGTGATCTTCTACGGAGTACTTTTGAGTAAACTTCCTTTTTAGTGTACTTTTTTTTTTTGATAGAAATTCCACTATTTTATTCAATTAAAAGGAGATTACAGAGTTAGAGACAATAGTCTCAGAAAGGAGGGAACCCCCCATACACATGTACAAAAAAAAAAGAGAAGGGGTGAGAAAGGTCTAAAATTTGAAGAAGTAGCGATTTGAACTCCCAAAGAACCTTCTGCTCCCCCTTACACCATTTGATGATGTTCAATGAGTCACCTTCAAAGACACAAAAACTCCCCAATTTTCTATCCACAACGATACAAAGGCCAAAGAACAGAGCAAATAGTTCGACATAATTAGCATTACACACCCCTAAAGGACCAACAAACGACCATATAAAAGTGCCTTGCCAATCTCTTAGAACACCACCAAATCCCGCAGGACCTGGGTTCCTAAAGAGTTGCCATCAAAGTTTAACTTAAAAACCCCAACAATCGGAGCCACCCACCTACCCTTTCGGTTTGCACTTCAAAAAGCCCAACTGGAACAACAACTTTAAGTTACTCCTAACATCCACCTCTGAGATATCTTGACCAAATTTAGTAATCAAAAGATATAGCCAAATGACATGTAGAATCTTCTCCCAAACGATCTCAAATGGCATACTTATCATTTCAAACACTCATCTATTTCTCTCTTGCCATATTTCCCATAAAATTACACTTTTAGCGATTTGCTAAATGATAGCACCAATCTGAGGCAAATCAATCGTCAAATTATGCAAAACACCTTCAACATTTGGTGGCATCACCATCGCAAACCCAAGCAAGGCAAAGAACCTTCTCCAAATGCAAAAGGTAAAAGAACAATGCAGAAAAAGATGATCTCCAGATTCCCAATTCTCTTTACACATTGGACATATATTCGACAATATTTTCCCCCTCTTGATAAGATCGTCAACTTTCAGCACCTTATTTTGAACAACCAGCCATATAAAGCCTTGCACCTTTAAAGGTAAGGGCCACCTCCAAATGACGGCTAGTCTAGGTCTTGACCACCGCCATCGATCATGGAAAAGTAGCTGGTACGTTGACTTCACCAAAAATTCTCCATCCTTATCAATCTCCCACACAACCTCATCTACAACATTTAGAGAGATATAAACCTCATCCAATAATCTTAGCAAACCGAAAAGTCCAGAAAAGAGTGCATCAGAGATCCTATTCTAAGGAGCTCAATATTCCACAAAACTTGGCCACCCCGATGCTCATAACAATTAGAAACTATAGCGTTGGGGTTAGCCCCTCTCTGGAAAATATTAAGAAAGAGCATCCCCAACCCATTTATGATGCTAAAATGAAATATTATTGCCATTACAAATAGACCACCGAATGTCTTTGTGTAACAAAGCTTTACAATTCTGAATTGACCTCCAAGTTGGAGACATACCCATGTCCCTCCTTCTGGTACCCACCCATATTCTAAACTTATCCACTCCATATTTCGAAACAATAATATGGTACTAAAAGTGGTCTTTGCAAGTTAAACTTCTCCACCACCATTTACAAAACAAGGCTTGGTTCACTGTAACGATTTTCCTAATCCCAAGACCACCTTCCCTTCTGGGTGTGCAAATTCTATCCCATCGAAGAAGATGGAATTTTCTCTTTTCCACAGAGGATCCCCACAGAAAGTTCCTCATCATCATTTCGATCTTATTTGCTATCGAATAAGGGATTTGTAGGATCGACATTTGGTAAATAGGTAAGTTAGACAAATATGCCTTAATTAGAGTAATTCTACCTCCAACGACGAGATATTTAAACTTCCATAAATCTAGTTTTACTTAAACACGTTGAAGAATTTTTTCCAAAGCAGCAAATGAAAGGCAACTATCTGAGTGTTTGAACACATTTTTAAGTACCTTGGGTCCCCAATGCGGAATAAAAGGGAAGCCGGTCAATAAAGCCCTGATATAGAGTGGAATTCTTGACAGTCTCATAATTACCCCAAAATACGACAGAATCTTCCTAAGCACTCCAAAAGGCCATCTGCCAAGTTTCGTCGAAATTCGACATGTCTAAGGTAGTGCAAACAAAAAAACAATTTCAAAAAAATCAACCTCTAGCACCTTGAAACGGACCGCGTAACTAGAACTCCATTTTTGGTGAGTCAAATAGCTGTGAGACTACTACCATTGGATCCAAATGGTCGAAAGCCCTTAGGGGTCAAGTTTCGGCTTAAACAGACATTCCAGGACAAAGTTACGGGTGAAACATTAAAAAAGGATAGGCCGTACGCTATTCCTGTTCGGCCTCCCTGCACCAATCTCCATTAAAGGAGACTAGTTCATAGAGTCACAACAATAACTTCAAATATTCATATCTCACTCATCTTGAGTCGGATCGCTCTCAAATTTGGTGAACGTGTTCGTCTTGTCAATACGAGTGTTTTGATATGTGCCACGGTGGTGACGATACCCCAGCAGGAAAAAAAACTCGAGAGAATTCGTACGCTATTCCGAGACTATGTCTGGTCTGAACTCTGCTTACGATGAACGGTTGGATTCGGCACACGAAGGCGTCAAAGTTGCTGCAAATTCCAGCCATCGGATTTCAAGATCTGGCCAAAAACCCAAGACAACGAAATCTTCATTCGGGCATGAAATCGAGTTGCGTTTGTTGCAATACGATAATGACGGCATGCTCAGTGCAATTCAACGAAGAAACTAAAGAAAAACATCAATAAACAAGCACGTTATCGATAAGAAGTTTTCAATATCTATACAAATTTCGAGTTGGATAATCGTGGCCTAAAAATGTGATCCGTGGCTCGAAGTTAGTATCAAATCGATCATCATGCCGTACCCGATAAGAAAGCAATCATCTTTCAGCCAAACAGACGTCGGAACAGCCCCAATTCATCTATGGAAGATCACACACGTTTTAAAGCAGCAGCAGAGACTGTTTTGGTATTCAATGTATTGTTGGGAAGGGGCAAAACTGTCCTTTTGTACCCATTTTTAGATTTTATTTTAATTCAAATAAATTGTAATTATCATCAATTGGGCTAGATTTGGGCATCCACCCATGTTTGGGCCCAATTATATAAATACATGCTTAACCTAATTATAAAATGATCCCTCAGTTTTCAATCTCATGAATAAAATTTGAGAGTTTCACAATGAAATTTTGGGTACATCTTGGAGAGAGAGAGAGAGAGGAGAGAGAAAAAAAAGTCTGATACCCTTTAATGAAGGTAACTTTCTCTCTTCTCCTCTCATCTCTCTCTTTCTCTTTCCTCTTCTCTTATCTCTCTTTGTCTCTCCTCTTCTTGTCTCTATCTTTCTCTCTCCTCTTCTCATGTATTTCTTTCTTTCTCCTCCTTTCATCTATCTCATTCTCTCTCCTCTTCTCGACTATCTCTTTCTCTCTCCTCCTATATTCTCTCTCTTTTTCTCTTCTCTTTTCTCTCTCCTCTTTTTCTTTTCTGTCTTTATTTCTCTCTGATCTTTCCTTCCTCTCTTCTCTTCAGTCATGCATGGCGGTGTTCACTGTCGAGCATGAACTCCTCCTTCTTCCCTTAATCTCTTGGAACATACACAGTGTACCGGGCCTTAACCCGAGTGGCGGGCTGGGCCTTTGTCCAAGTTCCCTTATCTCTTTCTCTCTGTCATGGACGACGGAACCTCATCGCCGTCCATGTTTTCTTCTATTTTATCTCTCCTATATCATGGACGGCGGACGGAACCTCATCGGCGTCCATGTTTTCTTCAATTTTCTCTCTCCTATGTCACGGACAGCAGAACCTCATCGCTGTCCATATTTTATTTTCTATTCTCTCTCCTCTATCATGGACGGTGGAACCTCATTGCCATCCATGTTTCTTTTCCCTCTCTCTCTCTCTTCTGTCATGGATGGTAGAACCTCATCGTCGTCTATGTTTTCTCTCGCCTCTGTCATGAACAGTAGAACCTCATCGCCGTCCATGTTTTCTTTTCTCTCTCCTCTGTCATGGACGGCAGAACTTCATCAACGTCTATGTTTTCTTTTCCCTTCTCTCTCTTTTGTCATGGGTGATAGAACCTTATCGTCGTCCATATTTTCTCTCTCCTCTGTCATGGACTGAGGAACCTCATCACCGTCCATGTCTTCTTTTCTTTTCTCTCTCTTCTGTCATGGACGGCAGAACCTCATCGCAGTCCATGTTTTCTCTTTCCTTCTCTCTCATTTGTCATGGTTGGCGGAACCTCATCATCGTCCATGTCTTCTCTCACATGTTCTATCTCTCTTCTATCATGGACAGTAAAAACTCATCACCATCCATATTTTCTCTCTCCCCTATCATGGATGGTAGAACCTCAATGCCATTCATGTTTTCTCTTTCCCCTATTATGGATGGCAGAACCTCATCGTCATCCATATTCCTTTCCCTTTCTCACTCTTCTGTCATGGACAGTGGAACCTCATCGCCATCCATGTTTCTCTTTTCCTTTCTCTCTTCTTTCTCTCTCTTCTTACTTCTTTCTTCTGTCGCTTCCTTCTCTCTCTTCTCCCATCTCTTTCTTCTTCCTCCTCTTTTTTACTCTCCTTTCTTCTCTCCTCTATTCTTTTCTTTTTCTTCTCTTTCCTCCTCTCTTTTATTCCCTTCTTTTCACATCTCTCTCCTCTTTTCTTTTATTCTCTTCTTCTCGTCCTCTTCTTTCTCTTTCTTTCTTTTCTTTTATCTCTCCTTACTCTCTCTTCTATTTTCTTATCATTTTCTCTTTTTCTATTTTTCTCTTCTCCCTCTCTTTCTGTTCTCTCTTCTTTCTTCTTCTGCTTTCGTTTGACCAAGGAAGGTTAAGATTAGCACTGTCATGGTAGTCCTGTCGTCGAGCAGTACTACCTCCATGTCGGTCTGAGTTACCGCGCACGTGTTGCTGCCACGACAGGCTAGCCATCGTGCCAGAACTGGTCGGTGATCATTCTGTCGTTGAGTAGTATTGCTCCCATGCCGATCTGAGTTACCGTGCCCATCTTACTACCACGCTGGGTCAATCACTTACTAGTCTAGCTACTGCGTCAGTCTAGCCACCTGGTCAAATTTCTCTTTCTCCTCTTTTCTTCCCTCTATTCTATTTCTCCCTTCTCCTCTTATCACCCCAAATCTTCATCTCATTCCTTCCCTTTCTTCTTTTGAATGCGCCTGCCCATGTGCATTCGCCCAAAGACAAGGTGGGGTCCCTTGGTCCACCTGTCTTGTAAAATTAACCATGTGTATGTGATGGCAAAAACATGAGAGTACAGGCCAAGGGAGGCGATTTCAAACTAGTTGTAGGACTGGGGGATGTTTTGTCATGATCTAAGAGGGCGGCCATAAGAGTCAAACCCAAGTGCACGGACCCAGGTGAAGTGTGTCCCGCCTCACATTAAAATTCTTTTCTCATCGGTTGGTGCCCTTGTTTACTAACAAGGTTCCCGAGAGAGCGGTCTCAAGTCTCGGGTTCCCCTGAAACCCGAGACACATGCCACCAGATCATCCCGACCTGGAGGGCGAGATCGAGGCACCTAATCAGTTGACGATTCCACTGGGGATACACTACGCCTTTGTCTGATCGTCCTCATTTGGCTATTCTCTCATTTGTTTTTTGTTTTTCTACACACACATGGCTTCCAGGTTTCTTAGCCCATTTATCTGAATCAAGGATTTTCTCATTCCTATATTCGTGAGCGTCCCCCGGGAACAAGTTCCTCGATCTTCATTCCCAACTTTCCTTCCTAGCAAAGACCAGTGTCTAGCTCTCAGGTCTTAACCTGGATAGGCGTGAGAAGGGACTTAAAGGTCCCTAACTCCTAATCCCCTAGCTATGGTGGAACCCCCACCAAAGCACTCTGCATTGGCAGCACGTCTGCTACCACTCATAGCATGCAGCCTGTCACAGGCAAGTCACTTGTCGGTCGTATTTTCGAGATGCGCAGAAAGGCTGCCCAGTCCCTTTCTGCAAAAGGCAATGAAGTTTCCATTCTTCTGTGGGTCTTCACAAGGCTACCCCCCACATTCCTGCTCCACCTCGGGTCTTTATGCTTAGAGGCTCGACACATCGAGGCAGAGACCCTAGGGTCTCCACCTCTCGCACGCACCCAAAGGCTCGTGGGTTACCCACTCGAGCCACACCTCGGGGCGACCCTTATGTTAGCTCGAGTCAATGTCCAGAATCAAGCCTCCTTGGGTCAGGTCTTGTACACATACCCTCGTCCTCCTACTCAGCACATACTAGCACACCCTGTACACATACCCTCGTCCTCCTACTCAGCACATACTAGCCACAGCTGATGAGCTCGACGAGATAAATCTAGAAGACGGTTGACCCCAAGCGTCGCTCTTGCATCTGAGGAAAAGAAGACAGTTGACCTCAAGCGTTGGTCCTGCATCTGAGGAAAAGAGGATGGTTACAGGCCAAAAATCCGCTCTCGCATCAAGAGGGTAGAAGGGTTTTAGATCGAGTTCATTAGACATACAAAGCAGACCCTTCTGGCAAAGAACTGGCCTATGATGGAGAGCACACCCTCTTCACAGTGAGCACCCTTTCACAAAACAACATGGAGTTCACTGTTGTGCTGCAAGACTTGGCTTCCAACAGACTTCACAAACCTGACCTTACCATTGGACACCACCCTTTGCCTACCTGAGTTATCATCGTGTGTGATTATCGCCGCGTGTGACTTGGCGTTGTGCATGACCATTGCCGCACATGACTCAGCACCGTGTGCAACAATCGTTGCACACAACTCATCACTGAGCACAACCACTGCTGGGCACAACTTGCTGTCATTCATGAAAGGATCGAGTGAACAGCAACCGCCGCACGCCACTAACGTAGGACGTGTCATGTTGCTATCCATGAGCGACTAGGGCACTGACTAGCGCCGGCTGTGTCTTCAAAAGACTAACATCGACTGTGTTTCTAAGGCCCAGCACGGACTGTGTTTCCCAAAGGCTAACATCGGCTGTGTTTCTAAGGCCCAGCGCCGGCTGTGTTTCCCAAAGGCTAATGCCGGCTGTGTCGCCAAGGACTAACGCCACCTGTGTTTGACAAAGGGCTAATGCTGGCTAAGGCTAACGTCCGTTGAGTTCTCTATGGTAACGCGTGTTCGCTAGCGATGCTTCAGACGATGATTATCCAGCTTCTTCAAGACCCTTCATCCCCTTGCGACCCTCTGGTTCCCGTTTCCCTTCGGCTGCAGGTGACCTTTTAACTACTCAAGATCCTCGACTCCCTGCGATTGTTCACCTCCTAGTGGCCATTTGTTGCCGTGACTATTCACCTTCCGCTGGCCGTTCGCTGTCGGTGGCCTTTCATCTCCCCACAACCGTTACCTCCTAGTGACCCTTCGTCTCTAAGCAATTGATCACTCCCCCGCGACCTTTTGGCTACTCACCAGGAAACCGCTTTTCTCGCCAGAAACCCACTGTTCAACCTTCCCCTCACCTTCTCGACAACAAAAAGTCACCGGAAAACCCTCGGAGGTGAGCAGGAGTTCACTGATAACAACCTACTACACCATGTGCCCCCTTTTCTCTCACTTCTCCGGTACTCCAGAACCAGTACCGGAACCATAACTGGCCTCGACAAGCTGCCTACTTCCCATTTCCGTCGACTGTGACCCTCATCAATAGTACCTTGCGTTCGCGCCGGAGTTCTCACAAGAAATCTCTGTGCCTTCGGCAAACTCCTGCAAACCCTCGCCTCCAAGCTTTGCGTTCTTACTGGAACTGTCGCCGGAGCTCTCTCTTTCACTTTGCTAAAAATTCCTTAGCTGTCTTTTTTACCCAAAGGTAAAACTGTGAAAAAGGGGTTTACCCCCTTATATAGGCAAAACTTCCTCGAGGTACCCCTCACAAACTGAAAATGCATGCCAGGTCCCTGAAGGCCAAACGGCGATGAGCCTGACCGAGTCAGGCTCAGACCCGGAGCCTATATCCAAGTTACTTATGTTCATGCTCTAGCATCGCTCGTGCTTCAGCATCGAACACGACACTGAAGGACAAACGCCAATGGGTTGGACCGAGCCTGGCTCAAGCCCGAAGCCCAAACATAGGTCACCGTCGTCTGTGTAACTTGTGACCAGTGGCGTATGTGTAACTTGTGACCAGCACCGTCTGTGTAACTTGTGACTAGCACCGTCATTGTAACTTGTGACTAGCACTGTCTGTGTAGCTTGTGACCAGCGCCGTTTGTGTAACTTGTGACCACTGTGCATGTTACTACTACCCATGCTAGTGTCGTGCATGTCTAAGCCATGTTACCACTGTGAGTGTTCTGTCAACATCCCCAGTGGAGTTGCACGTCCCACAACCCATCATCCCCAGTGGAGTTAGGTTTATGCCAAAAAAAAAAGGCATGCTTGTCTCTTCAATTCCGAGTGGGTCTGTCTCACACCAAGTAATTATCCTCTTAGACCTATTCCCATCTTATCCCCAGGGAGTCGGGTCACATTCCATAAACCTATTCTCCATAGAGTCTTATCATTTACCCAAAGAGTCACACTTGCCCCTAATCCCCAGTAAAGTCTACATCTGTTTGCCATTCCTCGTCAGGTTGCCGCCTTCATCTAAGCCCTTTGCTTGTGTATGGTTTTAACCATTTTATCCCCAGGGAATCAAATTGTCCCCCATGCTTTTATTCTCCATGGACCTTCACCCATATGGCAACCCACACAATGGTCCGTGCTGTATGACCTTATACTACACATCCATGGTCCAAATTATACGACCTTAAACTGTATTGCAGGTCTCGTTGCACGACCTTAAACTGCATGGTCTTAGCAGCATGACTTTAAATTACATAGCCACGGTCCAAGCTATATGACCTTAAACCATAGTGCACGTCCTGGCCGCATGACGTTAAAAGGCTTAGCACCATGGTCCAAACTATATGACCTTAAACTGTAGCGGAGGTCTAGTTGCACGACCTTAAACAGCATGGTCCTAGCTACACAACTTTAAACTACCTAGCCACGGTCCAAGCTATATGACCTTAAAACTATAGTGTACGTCTTGGCCACATGATGTTAAACTGCTTTACCCAGGTCCAGGAGGCATGAACTTAAACATGCCCCCACACACGTGCATGTGCCCTATACATGCGTCCTCACACATGCCTTCCCTAACTCACCCGTTCGTATGCACGTACCACCTTCATTAACCTCCCCAGTAAATCCATCTCCCTTCATTACCATTCATCATTCCCAAGTGAGTCTCACCCATGCTCACAAAACGGTGAGCCATCCCTCCATCCATACTCGTCGTAAGCTATTGGGTCACCATTATCCACTTTCCATCCATTCACCATTCATCCCTTATAAACAGCCTCGTGCCATCTCCCCAAAGTGAGTTAAACCACCACCATACTCACTCCATGGCCTCCACAGACTACCATCCATCTCCACCATGGTTCATCTATTCCCTAAACTATAGTGTACGTCCTGGACGCATGACGTTAAAGGCTTCGCACAGGTCCCGAAGGCATGACCCTAAACATGCCTTCACCAAAAAAAAGGGAAATAACGAGCATGGTGTATACCTGAACAAGGGAACGCCATGAGTAAAAATGACGGACAGTCATGGTCACGAAACCATGAGTAAAAGAGTTTCGTAAAATAAAAACCCGAGCACGGTGAAAACCCGAAAGGGCACCGTGAGTAAAAATGAGAATAAGGGTTGACATGGCCGAAAGGTCTGGGTAAAAGAGCCTAAAATGAAAGGAAGTTGGTGAAAACCATTTCTATGGCGCCACTTCCCAAGTCCAAGTGAAAATCCATAAAGGACACTTGGACCAATAAGCAGGTTGATGTAGCATACGCCTCATTGGCGGCTTTAGTAACTGAGCAAGAAGAAAAATCCCTGGTGTCAAAATGCCTTGATACTAAGACCCAAAAAGATGAGTAATAAGGAAATATTTCGACAGCCTGAGTCCATTCGTAAAAGGGACTCGAAGGATAGAAGACTCGCCAAGAAGGCAAGACAAGTCTCATGAAGAAGAGCACTATTCCCAGGAGGTCACTATTGCACACCAAGATGCTGAAGGTGCCCCAAGAAAGCCAAGTCAACCGGACCTTGGACCTGTTATGCAGCAACAGGATTGAGCCCTCAGGGGTCGCCTTGGAAAAAGAAGAGAGGTATCCTGATTGTTGAAGCTACTAGTAGTAAGTAGGGCTGTGCCCACAGTTGGTCCCCTCGATATACTGAGGTACCCTGCCCGCCAACCAAATTTAGTACGAAAAGCAGACGACTGCCAACAAAAGGCCCATCAGCAGACCATCCAAAACAAAGAAACTAAGACTAAATGGGAAAAATACCCTTAAGCATAACACTCGACCGACAGACGGGCCTAATTCTGACCAACGAGGTCTGTACAAAATCCTCAACTGATAGAATCACAAACAGTCCATGCGAGGGTGAGGACTTTGATAGGATCCCTTAAAAAGTCTCTTCTCCCCGTTAAGGCTCCATGGATAGACCTGTACATTGCATCCAAATGTTTGAGCATTCTACTTACAACATTGCGTGGATCTCCTCGGTGTTCACGTGGTCATGTGGCTAGGAAGAAAAAAGTAATAAAGTTGAAGGAAATTTTCCAAATGTTGTCCTTCTCACTTCTCTCGAAGCACAACATTCAGCGGGGCAAGCTGTTTGAACACATTTTTCAGCACCTTGGGTCCCCGATGTGGAATAAAAGAGAAGCCGATCAATAAAGCCCTAATATACAGTGGAATTCTCGACAGTCTCATAATTGCCCCAGAATGGGTCAGAATCTTCCTAAGCACTCCAAAATGCCACCTGCCAAGTTTCATCACAATTCGACATATCTAAAGCAGCGCAGACAAAGAAACAATTTAAAAAAAAATCAACCACTAGCACTCTGAAACGGACCCCGTAACTAGAACTCTATTTTCGGTATGTCAAACAGCTGTGGGGACCATCGCCATTAGATTTGGCACGGTTGAAAATCTTTAGGGGTTTCTTCTTAAACAGACGTTCCAAGACAAATTTATGGGTGAAACATTAAAAAGGGATAGGTCGCACGCTATTCTCGTGCGGCCTTCCTGCACCAATCTCCAGTAAAGGAGATTGGTTCACATAATCACAAGTAGTAACTTTGAAGACTCGTATCTTACTCGTAATTAGTCAGATCGTGCTCAAATTTGATGAGCGTTTTCGTCTTGTCAATACGAGTGTTTTGATATGTGGCACAGCCCGTGATGATACCCGAGCAAGGAGAAAAACTAGAGAGAAGTCGGTGATTCATGAAGAAAGTTGTAGAAAATTCAGCAGCAACATGCCTCGTTCGAGCGGCCATTTCACGGTATTCACGTAGCCAATCGACGAGAAACCAATTGCATTAAGTACGTAAGATCCGAGGATATGTCTAGTATGAACCCCATGTACGATGAACGGTTGGATTCGACACATGAAGGCATCAAAGTTGCTGCAGATTTCGGCTGTCAGATTTCAAGTTTCGGTTAAAACCCAAGATGCTGAAATCTTCATTCCCCCACAAAATCGAGCTGTGTTTGTTGCAACGCATTCATGACGGCATGCTCAGTGCAATTCAGTGAAGAAACCAAAGAAATAAAATCAAGAAACGTGCACACTATTGATCGAAAGTTTTCAAGATCTATACAAATTTCGAGTCACATGATCCTAGCCTCAAAACGCGATCCGTACCTCGAAGTTAATATCAAATCGATCGTCATGCCGAGCCCAACAAGAAAGTAATCATTATTCGACCAAATGGACGTCGGAACAACCATGGAAGATCACGCACGTTCTAAGGCAGCAACATGGACTGTTTGGAAATTCCATATATTGTTGGGCAGGGGCAAAACTATCTTTTTGTACTCATTTTTAGATTTTATTTTAATTCAAATAAATTGTAATTATCATCAATTAGGCTAGATTTTGGGCATCCACTCATGTTTGGGTCCAATTCTATAAATACATGTTAAACCTAATTGTAAAAGGATCCCTCAGTTTTCAATCTTATGAATAAAATTTGAGAGTTTCACATTGAAATTGTGGGCACGTCTTGGAGGGAGAGAGAGAAAAAAAATTTCGATACCCTTTATTGAAGGTAACTTTCTCTTTTCTCCTCTCATCTCTCTTTCTCTCTCCTCTTCCCTTATCTCTCTTTCTCTCTCCTCTTCTCATCTCTTTATTTCTCTCTCCTCTCATCTATCTCTTTCTCTCTCTTACTTTCATCTATCTCTTTCTCTCTCCTCTATTCTCTCTCTTTCTCTCTCCTCTATTCTCTCTCTTCTCTCTCCTCTTCTCTCTTCTTTTCTCTCTTCTTTTCTCTCCTCTTTTCTTTCTCCATCTTTATTTCTCTCTGATCTTTCCTTCCTCTCTTCTCTTCCACCATACATGGCAGTGTCTATTGCCGAGCATGACCTCCTCCTTCTCTTAATCTCCTGGAACATACACAGTGAGCCGGGCCTTAACTTGAGTGGCGGGCCGGGCCTCTGTCCAAGTTCCCATGTCTCTTTCTCTCGTCATGGACGGTGAAACCTCATCACCATCCATGTTTTCTTCTATTTTCTCTCTCTTATGTTATGGACAGTGCAACCTCATTGCTGTCCATGTTTTCTTA